ATTTAACTATGAAAATAAAAATAATAAAAAAAATTATCATTTTTTTTTTGAAAAATACATAAAATATTATAATAGAATATTACACTGTACATATTCTAATAAAAATTTTAGAATGTTTAAAATATTCTACTAGATTTGCCAGATATGTAGAATATTCTAAATATTCTACTAAAATATATAAAAATGTATTTTATTTATTTATTTTTTATTTATTTTTTGTATTTTTTTTTATTTTTTTTGGAAAATATATATTCTGAAAATAATATTGGAACAAAAATTTTTCGAAAATTTTCAATTAGTTTACATTTTTAAAATGTTTTCGTTTTATCTAATAAAAGAGTGACAAAGATCACGTCTCACGGTCTCACAAAATTATGCCGTCTTACATGAACCTAACCCTATATATATATATATATATATACTAGCCGTTTACCCGCGTCAAGCGACGGGTGCGAATAGTTTGTATCCGAAGTTAGTTTCTAGAGACGATTAGTACGTCGAGCAATTATTAGTTTCAATTCATCAATTAGTTTGTTTTAGGAAACATGTCATATTAAAAGTAAAATATAATGTATTCCGACGAACAATGTATTAGGGTTTAGTATGTTAGGGAAAGTTATATGATATAACATATAAAAGTTTGTTGTTTCCGTTAAAATTGAAATATGTAGTTCTTTTGGTGAATTATAAAAGTTGGTTGACTACAATAGCTTATATTCGACCCCAATTTATAATTTCTTTTACAACATAAATTTCTAGAATTAGCATAAAACCTCTTGTTAAACTGTATTATAACTTTTTTAATTTAATATGAAATTTTTGTGTTTTAAAAAAATATAATTTATTTGGTATTAATTGCTTGTGGTTTAAAAAAATAAATTTTATTTAATATTAATTGTTTGTGTTTTAAAAAAAATATAATTTAATTAAATTTTACATAACTGTTTGTAATCAATTTCAAAAATGTCTTGATTTACGTATGTAACTTATAATTTTCTAATCTTGTCTTAGCTGCAATGGATGAGAAGTTGGATGGTACATTTGTTGTTTTGTTGCGGGTGAATGTTCATAGTATTTGGGGTCGTTGGGTTTTGGAAATTTTGTTCTTGTCTATTCTTGCTGCTCTATCACTTCCCGGTTGCTACTTCTGCAGCTTCTAATGTTGCTATTTATTTTTTTATCGCTGCCTCTTATTCGTGGTTTTGTGACAAATTCAACCTTGGTGATTTTGGGTTCATTTTTGTTTAGTTGTTGTTGGCCCTTTCACCCCATAATGTGCTTCTTTGTCAGAGATTTCAATGTGCATCATAGTTTGCTTGGTGTTTGTGGTTGACAATTTGGTCGAAGGCCGTTTCTCCCGATTTGTTCTTTCGGTGATTTTGTTTTGCTTGTGCAATTGTGCTTATCTTAATTTTTTTTCTAGTTTGGGCTATTTTTAATTGATTTTTTTTTCTTTCGTTCTTTTGCACTTTTGAATTGTCCGGCTTCCTGATGGCTTTTTTGGTTCCTTTTATATTATATTTCATTGTCGTTCTAAAAAAATAACGAATATAAAATATATTTGTTTTATTATAACTGATTATAAATATAATAATTGAAATTTTTTATTTACATTCTCTGTTATAAAAATTTACAAGACAAAAAAAGCACTTGAATAAAAAACAAACATCATTTCATACAAAAATTAACCCCGGTTGTTTTAATTTTTATGTCAAATGGCACACTATGTCATTTGGAGGGCAAGTTATCAATTTAATGATTTGTCTAAACACCCGAGACACTAACATTGTTAGATTCCTAAACATAATTTTACTTAAAATTTCTAAACTAAAAATAAAAAGTGTTATATTTTAGAAGATAAAAGTTTATGTTAACTAACAATTCTTTTGAACTTCATACTTGTTATGTAATTAGTTCTTTTAATAGATAATATGTTCATCAAAATATAGGAATTCAAAATAAAAGATTTTATAAACCATGCAGATGAAACCTTTTTGTTATATTCTTGAAACTTTTGTAGTTATATTTAATTCAAGAATTTAAAAGAAAAAAAACAAAAATTATGTCGTATGCAAATTTTTCATATTTTAATTAATATAACCGAAACATTTATAAAAAAAGAAATATTCCACAAGGAAGCGAATATACTAAGTTCAAATGATATGGGCTTCATGAAAGATTAAAATCAAATATTCAAGCTCTCTTTTGGTTTAGGAAACATGAAACTCTACGATTTATTACAAAACTAATAATCTTTAATGTTATATTTGGTTGTAGGAGTGTAATACACCTGACTAAACTAAGTTCAACAACGATAGTTTCTGTTCTCTCGTCTAATAGTATCACATTATATTTTTTAGTACACAAAGTATTTAACAATCTATATGCCTTTAAACACAAATCCCCATAATAGAAAATGTATATGTAAGCATTGCCCTAGTACATCAAACCATTCTTAGAAATTCTCTTGTTCATTACACGTGTTGATATTAAAAAAAATGTAGAATGCCTTACTAAAAAATCAATGAGAGTATATTGCTATTTTTTAAATCTAACTCTATTATAAATTATATTTTTTTTCCATGGTGTACTTGTCCATCAAATGAACATCAAACCAAAAAAGATTGATTAGCAAACATAAAGGAAATTTTGGGAGTGTAGCATGAGAAATATAAACCTGGAACCACTCCTCCATGTCTAAGTTCCATGTATCATCTTAAACTTCTTAACTTTCTTAGTTTTATGGTTTAAATGAATGAAAAAAAAAAAAAAAAAAAAAAAAAAAAAGAATAGTCAAGCAACTATACCAACAAAAAGTATCAAGATATCTGTGTATTTGGAAACATAAACAAATTCACTGGAAGTATATAGCTAAAATTGTCCTGAAATCACACCAAAAAACATGAATGTGGGTAACATTGCAACATGATCAATATCATAACTCAAAAAAGTATAACTTGTTTAACGTCTACAAACTTTAATTCCAAAGTGAGTCTTTTTTTTTTCGAGGCATTGTTAGCAACCACCGAAACCTAAGGAAAACAAAACAATCAAGACCAAAACTCAAGTTAAAGTTTGAACACCAAAAGGGTGACGAATCAAATAAAAAATTAAACTTGTTTAACATCAACTTTCTATGAAGATTGATGAAGAATATATATCCTTGGTAGTCACAAAATTGAAGACATCAGAAATTCTATTCTCCAGTTTTCTCAATCGATTCATCCATCCTTCCATGACACATCTTGTACACATGGGACATAAAATAGAGGGGGGGGGGGGGGTGGATATAGAGAAGATCAGCGAGATTTGAGGGTTGATTATGGAGAAAAAACTTTAACTGTGATTCGTAATATATGGGATACCAAGTTTAAGGGGTGAAATAACCTATACCATCTTTATTTATGGAATTTGCTTGGTTTTTGGAATTCTTTGTTTTAAAATTAATTAACCTTCCATAAATTGGTAATCCATATAAATTTTTACCTGTAAGGATGTTAATATTTTTGCTAAGGATATTTAATGACGATGATTAATGTATACATTAAAGGTTTGTACAAAAGGTTTTAAATTTAGTACCTTTTAAAATTGTTTAATAATATAGTATATATATATATATATATATATATATATATATATATATATATATATATATATATATATATATTTTGTTCAATAGAGAACCATAATTAATCAAGGAACCAATCTTTTTTTTTTTTACTTTTAAAATTTATTTTTTATCAAAAAAAAAAAAACTAAAAATACAAAAAATCATAACTTTTTATCTTTTTTCCAATGATATCAAATTCGATATATTTTTTTACGTCAAATTCACTCACAATGTGAATTTTTGAAAATCCACAACGTAAATCCGAAAAATATTTTTCACATTCATAATGTTAATATATGAATTTAGATATTTTTAGATTTTTTTTTCGATAAAAAATAATCTCTAAAAATTGAAAAAATGATTTGATTCCCTTAAAAATCGATAATTATAGTTCTCTATTGAACTTTTATATATATATATATATATATATATATATATATATATATATATATATATATATATATATATAAACTAAAACAATAAAGGATACAAAAAAATATATATATACCATGAATTTTAAGTTTGTTATATTAAATCCATATAATTCAACTGGGTTAACTCTGATTTGTCTTTACCGACTCTTATCTGAGACGATGTTTACTTTATCCATTTTTGGTGCGGTATGCCGTCATCTCTGATGAAACGCACTTGACTAAAAAGTCGGATAAAAATCATACAAAACTACAAGATCTCTTGAAAAAATAGAGAAGCTCCCAAAATGAGAACTTCAAAAATTTCTTGAGTGTAATAGCATAAAAAAGAGCTTCATGACTTATAATGCTAGAGACTTTACCCGATCGATTTAAAATTGCTATATTGTTCGAGTTATTATTACTGATCGATTTAATATTGCTATATTGTTCGAGTTATTATTACTCAAATGATTTGTAGTTCTCAGGTGATGTCCTTGCTCTTTTGAGAATATAGATATTATTATCTTAGGAGTATATTTGATTGCCGGATGAAAGAATAAAAATAATAATAATAATAAAAACATTGCACGTATAAAATATACTTATTAAATTAATATAATACTTGTGCTCAAAATCTCTTTGATATATAATTTCTAACAGAAAAAACTTTAATAAATCCCCAAAAATATAATTATATAAACATAAAATGACGATATGCCTCTCCAAAATTCATTAAGCCGATCAATAGATTAAGATGGCGTTGATGAATAAAAATTCTTCAAGTCATCTAATAAAATACATCAAGTTTATATATTATATACATACATAAATATTAAATAGTAATAGTCGTCGTCATTAATCTCATTGTCTATGTTCCATGTATTCTCTTATAGCAACAGTTTTCTTCTAATATAAAAAAGGACAAAATAATTCATTACGTTATTTGCTATCTTCAACACCCACGACCACCTTTCGCCCTAGTCAACCTTCAAGTTAGGATCAACATCCACCCTACCAACACCTTGCTCCGCCACCTTCGCCACTTCCACTTCGCCAATCACCACCCCTTCCGCCTCTCTCGCCACCCTTTCCTCCTCTTCTTCACTTACGTAATTTGGATCCTTCTCGTCCACTGCTGCCGGAGCAGGGTCAAGTTCATCATTCACCACTCCTCCGGGACCATCCCACGTGTACTTTCCCCCACGGCCACCTTTTGATTGCTTATCGATCGGAATCCCATCCCTGGGGTGGCGGTCTAGACGGTGTACGCCTTTGTCTATAAGCTTCTTTTCTATGTGCTTTAGGGTATCGATGTTATGGGTATGCACTTCCGTCTTCTCCACTCGCTTCCGGCCTTCCTCGTCGGCGCTCACCGCTCGAAACGTCACCGTTGGTTCCATGTCGTTAATCTGCTTTGTCTTCTGCGTACTGTTAATGATCGGAGTTTGATTGATGCGGAACTGATGTCGATGATGGGATCAGACCGGAATGAGTTTATCATTTATAGCATGTGGAGGTGGAGCATCGATAAGGTTCTAGAAGAAGCTACGGTGGTACTAGTATGTTCTATCTTCGCCATGTGTCGATTTGGTCACATGTGATACCAGTAAACGAGTGTCCACGTGTCATACGGCCTTTCTCGATGATTCAACAATTTTTAATAGGGATCCATCTTTAACAAATTTATTGTTTTTCTTTTTTACCTTTTAAAACAGCGGTTTCTATAAGGGAGAAAGAAGTCATTGCGGGTCGGAGGAAGAAAGGAATGGACCGAAAGCAAGAGAGAAAGAGAGGGGTTTAGCGGTTTAAGGAAGAAAAGTTCCGATTTTTTGGATAAGTTTTTAATAAAATCATAAATTTTATTTTTTGAATAAAAAAATCCTAATTTTTTCACATTTTGAATACAAAAATCCAAAAAACTGGCTAATTTATTTCCTTTAGTCTTTTTTTGACCTATTTAGTAGCTCATAGGACTAAATTGTTAATTTTTCGAAAATAAAGGGATTTTTTTGTAGATTTCATCCAAAATTTATATAATGTATAAACATATTTTTTACATATCTATATCTATTTTTACGTATTTTGTATTTTTTATATTTTATAAGTATATATTTACGTATTTTTATGTATTTTAAATGTGTATTTTTTTTACTTATTTATTTGTATTTTTAACCATTTTACATTTTTTTATTTTATTTTATGTGTTATTTTTTATATATTATGTATTTATATGTATTTATATATATATATATATATATATATATATATATATATATATATTTACGTATTTATGTATTTTTAAAGCATTTTATATATATGTTTATGTATTTTAAGTGTATAAACGTATTTTTTACGTATTTATATCTATTTTTAAGTATTTTACATATATTTTATGTATTATGTATTTATATATTTTTTAAAGTTTTTTATATAAATGTTTTTGTATATTTATGTATTTTAAATGTATAAACATATTGTTTTACATATTTATATGTATTTTTTAAGTACTTTACATATTTTTTTGTGTATTTTTATGTGTTTTTTATGTATTATGTATTTATATATATTTTTGCGTATTTATGTATTTTTTTAGTTTTCTTACATAGATGTTTATGTGTTTTTATGTACATTAAATGTTAAAGTGTATTATTTTTACGTAAAAATATATAAACACGTAAAAATAATACAATTAAACATTTAATATACATAAAAATACATAAACATCTATACAAGAAAACTAAAAGAATACATAAATACGCAGAAATACATATAAATACATAATCCATAGAAAAACACAAAAAATATGTAAAATAGTTAAAAAATATATACACATAAATACTTAAAACAATACCTCTATACATTTAAAATACATAAATATACAAAACCATCTATATAAAACATTTAAAGGAATACATAAATAAGTAATACATAAAAAATATGTAAAATACTTAAAAATAGATGTTAATACGTAAAATAATACGTTGATACATTTAAAATACATAAACATCTATATAAAAAGCTTAAAAATAAATAAATACGTAAAAATACATAATACATAAAAAGTTACACATAAAAATACATAAAAAAATGTAAAATGGTCTAAAATACATATAAATAAGTAAAAAATACGTTAATATATTTAAAAAACATAAAAATATGTAAATGTATACATATAAAAACATAAAAAACTACACAAATACGTAAAAATTGATATAGATATTTTTTAAAAAATATGTTTATGCATCATATAAAAATTTAGACGAAATCTACAAAAAAGTCCCGTTATTTTCGAAAAATTAACAATTTGGTCGTATGACCTGCTGAACAGGTCAAAAATGGCTAAAGTGAATAAATTAGTCGGTTTCTTGGGCTTTTCTATTCAAAAGATGAAAAAATCATGATTTTTTTATTAAAAAAATAAAATTTAGGACTTTATTAAAAATTTGCCCAAAATATCGGAACTTTTTTGGAGATATCCCCCGCTGGGGAAACAAGTTAAGACGGAAAGTTGAAGAAGATGAGATCGACGGTTTTGGGGTTGGACGGGTTTGATACCCTCCGCTTAGGGTTTAACGGTTTCGGCGGGAGGAGGGAAACGACTCCTTCCTCCCTAACATGATTTTTTCTCTTATTTTGATTATGTACCGTATTTTAGTTATGTTTTTTATATTTAGAAACCAAGTGTGCATCGTTTCTCAATTCGAGGTGTAATTCGTTTTGTTTTGTTTTGTTTTATTTTATTTTAATATATATATATATATATATATATATATATATATATATATACACACACACACACTAGCCGTGTACCCGCGCAATGCGACGGGTGAGAATAACTTTGTTTCGGCAGTGGGCTTTTCTGATGTTTAGAACCTTGACATAGAGAATCTCATTGCTTGTTTGATTATAATGCCAATAAAATTGGCTTGAAATGTTAAAGTTGTCATGAAATCAATGTTTTCAAAAGTTATTGTATTCGTGATTATCCTAAAAAAATAGAAAAACCATACGCGCAGTCAAAGTCTTGTAAAAACAATCACAACCAAGGTCAATGAGAATGAAACTACCAAAAAAAAAGATGAAGATTTTAGCAACCATAGGTGAACATATATGATGGATATAAACCGTTTGGTAGGCTTTTCATGGTGTATAGGTAAGACATGCTCTCCTAGGACCACCTTTTACAAGTTTTACCTTCTAATATTCGTGTCTACCTAACTTGCTATAATGCTTTTTAATTATGATCAACCAAAAGATTTCAGAAGCAACTACACCACCAATATAAAAGCTATTTAAAATTCTTTACATTTCTTTGTAAACAAACTTTTGCAATAAAACATGGTTATACTTTGAAGCAATGTTTTCAGCCTCTTCCGCTAATACCCATGCACAACAAAATGAATATCAAGGGTGACGTTGGCAAATTTTTAAACTTATCAACCATTAAAAGGAATTTGAAAATTAGATATAAACACAGATATTTAAATTGAGGGGATAAGTTTTAAGCCTTGCGTTGGAGGGTTTCATTTGTGCTAGAAAAAACCAACACCTAAACACAAATACGTAAGCAATTACTTAATTAAAACTAAAACTATGTTGCCTTTTTCCCATCTTCTGGAGCATAAATAAAGGCTTATATCATCCATACTTCATGTTTCTTTTTGATGAAACTAAAACTATGCAATCCTTATTATCCAGTGGCATAAATTTCAAAAGAGCAATGAAGACTCAAATTAAGTCCATAAAAGAAACAAAAACTATACTGTCAAAATTTCATTAAAATTATTCATGACTTGCAAACCCCCTAGAACATCTAATTTCACTAACTAAACCATCATGGTAGCTTCATAAATTGTTAAAACTATCAATCGAAGTAGATTTTTCATTTTCAAATTCGAATTAAGCAACCTCCAACACCAATATCGGTTGTTTTTTTTCGTGAATATGAAAGGAAAACAAAGGGTTGTTTTTTCTTTACCAAGTCATGTCTGTTTATGTAAATATAACCAAAAAATAGGAAAAAATAACAAACTGAATGTGGATTACGATCCTGAATAATAACAAACTCAAAATTAACAGATAAATTCAATCAATTACAAACAACAGAAAGATTACAATTCTGAACCGTAAACTAATTAGGAAATAAGTGACAAGATTTACCTGAGACTCAAATCAAGCAACAGGGATTTTGAGAACCAAGATAATATGGGTGGAAGAAAACTATTCGTGAAGAGGGGGACAGAGAAGAGCAGTGGAGCTATGGTGGTAAAAACATCTCGTACGATCCCTGTAATCAAACAAATAACTATGTATAAATAGCTAATATTTGAGCAAGATGATACGTCCAGAGAAAGAGGGGGTAGAATCAAGAACCAATAAAATGAGATTGAAAATGAGGGAACGATGGTAGCTCCGAATCTAATGTAACCTTTCCTTCTGGATGATATCCATCAAAATGATGATGTATGCACTTGGTGGTTAAAGGGAATGACACCATTTGTGTGTAGTTGAAGTCGTCAACACCATCACACGCCGATAGATGTTGAAGGCAGCAAAAGCAGTAACAAGTTGAACCTAGAATGTTGTGAATACTGGTGTTTGGTGTTTGTGACCAGGGAACAGGGAGCACTCGGAGCTAGAAAACATAAACCGGATTGGGGCTCTTATTACCTGGTACTACCGAACCATGGGCTTTATAGCAGGGGTGGGTACAAAGAGACAACATCTACCATGGGAGAGAACGAAGGGTTGGCAACATGCCCATATTTAAGGATGTAGATTTCAAATTTTGAAAATTGAACGAAGAGCGGCATTTAAGGATACTTGATGAAGCGTATTGGGAACTATAGGTTTAAAATTTTGAATGAACCTTGAAATAAGGAAAATAAGGAATATTTTGTGAGAATTATAAGGATTCAAACGTGAATAATTGGTAGGTTAAAATTTAATATTATTTTATTAATGGTTGGTTGTACTTTATGCTTAAAAACTTAAACATCTTACATAAATATTATTATTATATTCAATATATTTATAGAAATAGTGAGATTTCTTTTATAAGATAGTAAAGATATATTAAAGAAATGAATCTTAGGAATAGTAAACTTGCCATTTTTTGGCAGAACTGGTCCCTGTATTATTGTTGGGTTTCAAAGTTAGGAATAGTAAATTTGGATGTTTTTTTGGCAAGTTTGCTCCTCATTCTTTAGCAATTTTGACAATTTTGGTCATTACAATCAATATTTTTACACTTTTTAGGAACCTTTTAATATTTAAAGTTTGGTCACAAAACTTTTGTTAGAACAATGTTCTATCAGGATCGTATGATTCTAAGCAAAATATAAATAAGAACGTAATGAAGAACACAAGTATTGCACTGAATATGTCGAATGATTAATGC